AGTTGTAATATGGTGCTACGAATGGTAAAACTCACTGACGATGCCGACTACGATGCCGGCGAAACGTCTAAGAATGTACCGCGTTCACGGCCCGAATTTGAAAATAATTATGCATACAATGGACTCAGGACAAGGTGCGTTCCTATTAGTCATTCTACCAAAATGGCCAAGTTGCGAAAACAAGGTCAAACAACTTCTAAAAATAGCTAAATTAATGAAACAAAATTAATGCCTTAATTATAAATTAATTATTGTATATACGTTTTATTAATTATAGTATTTTTAAATATATTTTTAAACATTGGGGTTAACAGGCATTATTTGTGTTGAATCCAATCAAATATACGATATATCTCTATGCCGCAACGCTTAATTTTCTGCTTACATCCGGCGTATAGCCTAATTATATTTGGATTATTTTGATTGTTATATTCATAAAAATGAATTTGATAGAAAATAGAATCAACTTAGGAAGTAGTTATGACAATACCGGCGACCACTTTATATCAACAAAAAAGGAAAATCAACAAGAATATGATTTTACTCGCCTTCGAGGGTCTTTTTACGAGACTTCACAAGACGCCTTTAAGAAAAATACTTCTCCAGAATCTGCTTTTATTAACGGTGAACACATATCTAGCTCAAGTAGTCTATCACGCTTCAGTTCATATAAAAATATTACGCCTTTTAACGGAACACCACTTATGTCTTCTAAGCATACAAATGAGATAGCTTCACACAGTAATTACCTACAGGAAAACGCTTTTATGTTACCTGGATTACTCGAGAATTCTTATTCCTTAGGATCGAATAATTCTCGAAGAATTGGCACTTACGTAATAGACAAAACTATAGGTAAAGGAAATTTTTCAGTCGTTAAGGTTGCTACGCACACTATCACGAAGTTAAAAGTAAGCTGTATTTTTTGTTATTGCAGGTTGCTATTAAAATTATTGATAAGACTCATCTAGACGAGGAAAATTTGAATAAGGTTTATCGAGAGGTCGAAATACTAAAGCGGTTGCACCATCCTAACATAGTTAAATTATATCAGGTGAGCCCAATTATAAATATATTTTAAAGGTAATGCAAACCTCAAAGATGCTTTGTATCGTAATGGAATATGTTCCGAATGGGGAGCTTTTCGGTAGGCTTGGCAATTATGCCTTGATTTCAATTAGAGTATATTCTCAACCATGGTCGTCTTACAGAAGGCCACGCACGATCAGTTTTTTCTGAAATTCTGGATGCAGTAGAATACTGCCATAAAAATCGTGTTGTACATAGAGATCTCAAAGCCGAAAATTTGCTTTTGGATAATCGCATGAATATAAAACTCGCAGGCAAATAAATTTCCTTACCTAATTCTTATAATGAATGCTCATTTCCTATATAAGTTATTTTTAACTCTTATCC